GTAGACTCCTTCTCTTTCAGGTTCGTATAGTCTTTTCTCTTCAACATTATAATAGGAAAAAACGCGCTTTGTTTTTTTTTTGGTGGGGCAGGGTTCTTCTTATTCCTTGATACAGCTCACTTTTTATCCTTGCCAGTTGTTCCAAGAACAATAGAGGAGTCCACAACTTAGTTCTTAACTACTACTTGGCATTACACATAGTAGGCACTCAACAAAAATTCACTGAATTAATAAAGATATTTGTTAAAGTGGATCCAAACCATCTTCTCTGAGCTGCTTTCTCAAAAAGTATTTTTCTATTATAATGTTGAAGAGAAAAGACAATACGAACCTTAAAAGAGAAAAGGATTCTACTTTTCAATGCATTCTCCTTTAAGGAAAAATAATTACATTTATTAATAAGAAAGCCATTAGGACAGCTGACAATGTTAGTAAATTCATCCCTCTGTTACATAGCTACTGCTTATTCAGGAATTGCACAGGCTTGCCAATGATAGCTGTTGACTGAAAATAAATATTTGATTTTGTTGTCTCACCTTACCCTATTTATTAAACAAGTTCTTTACATAACTATCCTAGAAAGTCAAGATTCTTAAGTCTTCGTCAGACTTATTTCTGACAAACTCATGTGCTGAGTCAATGATAAACAATTTGGGGGTACACAGCTTCTCCCCCCTCTTTCCTTTTTTAACTCTACATATGTCTGATCAAAATGTCTGGATTTGGTGGCTGATTTTAGAACACTTTTCACAGAAAACCTGGTAAAATAATGTTATTTTTAGCCTTCGACTCACAGCCATGGACTCAAATGATTAGACATGCAATTCTGAATTTGATTTATGGAAGATGGGGTCCAATTTTCTGGCCCCACGCCTGAATGCTGGGAAGGCAGAAACTTATACTAGAAAATTTGGTTTCCCAAGTAGATGAGGTTGATTAATAGAGAGGTTCCTCTCAAATGCAGTTCCCAAGAATGAGCTGTTGTGCTCCATGGGGCTGAAATTAGAATACTGGGACTGATTATATCTAGCACCAAATGATCACTGACAAAATTTTGAATGTCATCATAACCATAGGTAAAGCAAAACACTTAAAAAAAAGACTTAACAAAAAGAAAATAAAAACTATATATATTGAGAGTAGAAAGTAGTTTGACTACTTAGGCCAATAATTCATGAAAAAAAATCAGTTGAGAGCCATTTAAGTAAAAAGGAAGTTAATTTAAATAATTTTTTTGTCTAGAGAAAAAGAAAGCAATATTTTGCTCATTCACTTTAAAAATTAAGAACAGAGAACCCAAAGTCCATTTACTAAAAACAAAAATTAAAATCACTCATTTAATAAATGATAAAATAATGGCATTTAAATAGAAATAAGTTACAAGATTATATCTTAAAAGCTATTAAAAAATACATCTCAGTTTTAGATTTTGATCATTTTTGTTAGGGTGTGTGTGAAAATGGGTAGTAGGTAAAGCCAACACTCATGAAAAAGAGAGACGTGCAGCACACACAAATACCCCAAGGGCAAACAGATATGGTGAGGCCTACTGATATACTAGAAGAAACAAAGAGATAAGGACACTGAGAAAAAGAGAAACAGTGATAGAAAAAGTATGACAGACGTGTATATATGCATGAAAGAAAAGAGAGGACAGGGAGTACTGTAGAGACATGAGTTTCATTAGTTAAAGAAATATTTGAGGCAAAAACAGTCTCAGAGAGAGATGGGAGGGATACAGGGAGATCTGTAGGTCTTTGAGCTGGGACAAGGGAACCCTGGCTGTTGACCCTAATAGTACAAAATTGTTTTTTTAGGTCCTACTAATGCTAAAGAAGACAAAAAACAAAACAAAACCCGTTACTACCGAGTCGATCTCCGACTCATAGCAACCCTATAGGACAGAGTAGAACTGCCCCATAGGGTTTCCAAGGAGCACCTGGTAGATTTGAACGGCCCACCTTTTGGTTAGTAGCAGTAGGTCTTAACCACTACACCACCAGGGTAAAGGAGGACTAAAATAGACTCCCTATCCTTTGAGAACTTATTAACAGGTTGAGTCAATTATCTTTTGGTTTAATCATTCTTTAAGATATTGACAAAGTCGCTGGGAATTTAAAATAGGCCTTTTTGCAGTGGCATGCAGAATTTCTGCTTTGATTTTTCATTGTAGATTATAAAGACTTTACAAAAGTACAGAGAAATAGTCAACTCTCCTTTTTGCATTCTTCGAGATCAGGGGCATAAATAGCAGCCCGGAGGGGACATCTCTTTGGTATGCAAAGTTCTTGCTGGCCTGACCTTTGTTCTTGGAAAAAATTAGTGTTGCTTCATTACCTGGTACCTGGGAGATATTTGAAATCTTTCCTTTTCTTTTTTTTTTCCTTTTTAAATGCAGTGCTATGTTTTGGCTCAAGTGGGTCTTGGTGGGAATAACAAATACTGGAAATGAAAAATCAAAACAAAATTATACCATCTCCCACTCCGTAACCTTGAAAAAAAATCTCTGCATAAACCTACTTTATAAATAATCAATAGTTTCCATTTAAATCTACAACTAGAGCAGTGCTGCTAAATAAAAATATTATGTGAGCCATATTTTAAATTTTCTAGTAGCCACATTGAAAAATAGAAAAGGTTACATTAATAATACATTTTATTTAACCCAATATATGCAAAATATTACCATTGCAACATGTAATCAATATCAACATTATCAATGAGGTATTTTACATTCTTTTTTTGATACTAAGTTTTTTATATTGGGTGTGTACTTTACACTTACAGCATATCTCTAACTGGACTAGCTCCATTTCAAGCACTCAATATGCACATGTGGTGAGTGGCTACCATATTGGACAGCAAAGATCTGAAGTGCTACTTCTAAGTGAATTGTGTATCTCTTCCTACTGTTAGCTCCACTGGAGACCCAAACAATTAGGATAAAATAAAATTAACAAAATAAAATCTAAAACTAAACTTCTGTTTACAGAGCCCTTTTAGTACATAATATTGTGTTTTTGCTACCTTTTGGGCAGGAAGAAAGTAAGTTGAGGCTTGTATACTTGCTTGGGAAGGTACAGCTTCCTTACTTAAGTAAAATAACTGGTTTACCAGAGGATGAGCAGGAAAGCTTCAGGTGGGAGATGATGGCCATAGAAGCCATCCCCTACCCCACACTCAGGTGAATTGAGTTGACTTGCCTCGATGTTCTCTTTGCACCCTATGCAGACCTCTGTCAAGCACATATGACTGTAGACTGTAAGTTCCATTATTATCCATCTCTGTTTCTCTAGTGCTTAGCACAGTGCCTGGCCCACAGTTAGTGCTCAATAAGTGTTTGCTGAACAAATAAATGGATTCAGATAAATTCACTTCCTCATTCTCACTAGACACATTTCAAGTGCTCAATAGCCACATGTGCCTAGTGGGTACCATATTGGACAGCATGGATATAGAACATTCCCATCATTGCAGAAAGTTCTATTGGACAGAACTGTTCTGGAGCAACGGGCAGAAATAATATTAGACCCATTAGGTGATAGGAGGTCCCTAGAGAGCTATCAGGATAAGAATAACTACAAAATTCTTTGTGAGCAAGTGGTAGTGATATCAAATGACAAAGAAAGAAGCAAAGGCACAAATAGGTATATATCTTAGCTTCCTAGAAAATTCAAATGCAGCTCCGTGATGGTTTCCACTGGAAGAATAAACTTCGCCATATATTTCTCCCTGCATTTTTGCCTCCCTCTCAGGGTCTTCTAAATTTGATTCCACCTAGGCACAGTCCCCATGACTGACCTCCTTACCCTCTAGCCCAATTATGTAACAGATGCTTTCCTTACATCCCGACATCATAAGTTAGCAAATTCAAAAGAAACTTTAGTACAAAAGTTAAGGAAAAAGAAACAAAGAAAAATGTACAAATCCTAAAAAATAGTCAATCTTATACACAATACATTATTTTATGAACCTAAGAATCACAGGAAATGCAGTGAAGTGCTTGGAGAAATCGTATATTCCCTTATCCTAAAAAAACTAGACGCTAATGACTGAAGAGCTAGCACAATTTTGCAGGTACCTTAGCTGTATCTTTTCCTTCCAGCTTCTGTCTCAGTGAGGAGACCTCTTGGGGTGCCATCTTGGTTCCTGACATACATTAGGTGGTGCACCAGAATATCTTGTCTCAATACTCACTTAAGGGCACCCCTTGAGGACATCTATTTCTCTTTAAACAAAACTTTTCCCCTTTCAAATGCTGTTGCCTACTCAGGCCCTCCTGCTTAGTTTCATATTGAGGCCTGAGAGACATGCTTAATAACAGCTGACCTGCAGAACAGGTGACTCCCACCTTCAGCTCTAGTGAATGATCTAGCTGATGATCAGGATTATCTGAGGAACTTTTGAAAAGTTCAGATTCCTGGGCCCCACTCCAGACTACTGAATCAAATAAATGTCTGGCAGTGGTGCCTGGGAATCTTTATTTTTAATGAGCATGCTAGGTGAATATGATGTATTTAGCCTCACTTAGGGATTACTGGTCTGTTACCGTGGCTAGTCAACTCAGCCCACCCCTGATCACTGAATAAGGACTTTCCCCACCCTCACTCTGTCACTTTCCAGTTTGACAATAAGACAGGATCTTTACCATAACGTCCATACAGATAGAGGGGGAACAGGAAGAAAGGTGGTTTTCATACATGCTAGAGGTTTCTGTAACTCTACTGCTTTCCTAGAAAAATGAGCTTGAATGTTTTAAGTACATGGGAACAAAATGTCCCTACAAAATTCACTGTCACCGCAAATAGAGAAGATTCCAGCAGGATGTGTTCCTAGGTTAATTACCAGTCAGCCTGCCAGCCAGAAGGGACAGTATTGAGAATGTAAAACACGAATCCAGAACACGAGATACATAATTTACCAGAAATCAAAGCTGTTATTGAATTTTAATATACGTTGCTGATGCTCATCTTTTGGCATTTGAAATAACAATCACTTACCCTTGACCAATTTTTTCAAATCTTGTGTATTTTTTCTTTGGGTCACCAACACTCACAATGCTTCCTGAGAGAGAGAGAAGGGGGCAGGGAGAGACTGAAGTGATTAACTGATTTCTCTTAATTTAATAATGAAAATTAAGATGCCAGAGTCAATGACAAATAAAAAATTAGACCAATATTCTCACATAATTTCTATAATTTACATTGAAAAATGATACTTTTGATTAAAATAACAGATAGTAATGTATTAATTACAGTGGTAGTAATAACCCAGGCCTGGGATGTCCTTCCCACATTTTCTTTCTAGCAAATTCCTATTCATACTTCAAAACTCAGTATAAATGTTGCCTCTTCTAGGAGGTATTCTCTGACCCTTTGGATAAAGTTAATAAACTTCCCTTCTCTGTGCTACTACTGTATCTTCTCTCTCTTTCTCCCTCTCTTGCTTTCATTCTTGCTCTCTTTCTCTTGACTTAATACATCATATAACTATTTATTTGACAACCCCTTTTAGACTGTGTCTTAATGACATGAGGCATGTCTTATTCATCTCTGTATCCTCAGCCTCACACAATATGGGCATGGAGTATATTGAGAACTCAGTAAATGTCTGTTGAATTAAATGGAAATAAAATTCAGCATTTCCTTTTGTAAATTACCCATAGTTTAAGGCAGGGGTTGGAGAATGTATTTTACTTGAACTGTATCTATACAATGCCACCAACTCAACAATTTCTAGGTTGCTATTTTATTTTTCAAATTGTCTAACAGATTTTTACATCATTGAGAGCATGCATCCTTATTCAAGCCAGCTTTTAATGGGCAAGGGCACTGATCCTCTTTTTTTTTTCCAAAATGAAATTATTTTAAAGTCACTCGAAACCACAGTTTTATTAAACAGTTTATCATCTTCTACAAAAGTTACACTGCTAAGTTGCTGAGCAAAGTCTTTTCCAACGACTGAACAAAAGTAAATAAACTTTAGCCCAAGCCACTTTCCAATTGGTGGGGTTCAGTTAATGAGGTTTTATGGTAGTAAATTATTCAACCTTTATTTTGATGGTATGTGGGGTTTTAAAAAAAACTGGAAATAAATCTTTTCATAAGGATTACCAAAAGACAACCATTTTGGTGTGATTCTGCTTCTGAATTTAACTGCTATTCAAGTAAAATGGCATCGCCCACACCCACTGCTTTCACAGGAGAGTGTATGCTGCCATCTACTGACCTTAGGCAAGTGCGCAGGAGGCCTTGTTCACTATTCAGAATAATAAAATAAGCTTTCAAAATGACCTGTTTGATCAGAGCCATCATAAACTGGCTTTTATAAATTGCAATAAAGAAACAAACAAACAAACAAACAAAAAAAACGAATTGTGACACAATAGGGAAAAAAGTGACAAAAATCAGCAAATCAAACTCAAAAGAAAAAAAAAAAAGACAGCAATGCCATAACAATTTCCTACCACAGCAATTTCCTAAATAAGAAACAAACTATTCGTTTTAAATACAAGAATTGGAGAAATCACCAAATACTAGTACTTGAAAATAGAGTTCTGGATGTGGTTTCAGTGGCAGAAAGGCCCAACAATATATTTTCCTACATATTAAGCTAAGCCAAACACCCATCATTAATTTAAAACATCATCCCTTTAGCATAATGAAGGTTTTT